CGTACCCCCTGGATTACTCACAACACATGCCCAAATCTCTTTCATTTCTATTTTATTTTCTTATTTTAATTATTTTGTTAATTATTTTCTTTTTTACAAACTAACCCAAAAAATCATTTTTTTCATTAAATCAAAAATCACAAAAACATCAAAAATAATTTTTCATAAAAAAATGTTTTATTTCTTTAATTAATTAATTAGTTTAATTAAATTAAGGAAATTTGATTCTTTCTTTTGTCATAATTTAAAATAATTAGACTTAGGGTTTAATTCTGTATATAATCTGATTTTTTTCTCAAAAAACTAACCTAAACATTTTTTTTAATTAGATCTTTTAGGTTTTGCTAATTATTCTCGCATTTAATTCGCCACGCGCATTTTTTAATTTCCCTTTTTATTATTATTGTAACTGCTTCGAGTTTGTAATAGTAATTAGGGTTTAAATTTCCGTATTTTATTTTTAGTCAAAATAATTATGTATCTGCGAAAGTCTTGTAATAACTAGGACTTTAACTTTCTCGCTTTAATTTTCGCAAACTATAAACTGCTTAGATGAATGTTAATAGGATTGTATGGAAAGACAAACTGAAAATTAATACGGTAGAAAACCCTAAATGTACAAAGGTAAATTAACTGAAAACATACACTCGCACATGCTCACTCCTAGGGTTTGCCTAACTCCGGTTGCCTTCGGTAAATGGTCATGAAGTATAGAGTTTGTTAGTGGTCGTCCTCTAGTTCCGAAAGATCTAAAATGACCCATTCGGATGTTGCCTCGGAAAAAAATCTGTAAGGCTTTATGATGATTACTAACATTTCCTAACATTGCTTTTGTGATCGTATTTGTCCCTTCGAATGTCCCTAAAAAACTCCAACGACGATGCTACCTATTTCTCAATAATGGGATAGCATTGTCTAAAAGGAAAACGAACAAACCTTTTTCGAGTAGGTAGATTAGTTCCTAGGTAATTGCTCAAACAAACAAAAACTTTTTCACACCAACACTTTCCAAACAAAGTTTTCAAAAACAACTTCGTAACACTCTTGAGAACAAAAACAAGGGTTAATACGAAGTAAAACAAAACTTTTCAAAACAAAGCACACACAAGCAGTTTTCAAAATGAGCAAGTACCTAAGAGCCCGTGGAAAACCACGGATAGAAAGGGTGCTAACACCTTTCCTTTATATATTCTACCCCTCGTACTCATAAACATCTCGAAAAAGGTTTTTTCTGTTATTTTTCCTTTTCCTGATTGGATAAAATAAAAGTCGGTGGCGACTCTTGCTTACCGCGACATTTTGCGAACAAAAAATGCAAACCAGTATTAACAGTCGGTTTTGCCACCATATCACATTCATCTTTGATTGATGGTCCAAATTGTTTATATTTCTGGAATCCTGGTAAAATTTCTAACAAGTTTTGATGTTGGAAGTTTTGAGAATGGATGAGAAACGAATGAGTTACAGGGATCCTGGTTGGAGGTTGAAGATGAAGTCATTTCTAGGACTGAACTTGTGTTATATATTTATGGTTTTGTTTAAGTTAACAGATGTATAGTCACCCTAGTGGTAAGGCAGCGCGCGTATCATGTCAAGGGCGTGGGTTCAAGCCCCAATACTGCCAGTTTTTGTTATTTTTTCAATATTTCCTTTCTCCTTGTTACAAGCCAGCACGCCTTGGGCCTCCACCACCGGGCCTCCATATTTTCACTTCATCATACCCCCCATTTTGCTTGTTCCAACATGCCCATTGTTTGCTTTTATTATATTTTCTTTTGCTGATTAAAAAATGTTAATGGGCCAGATTGAAAACTATTTTTTCTAACAAACTCCCAAATTCCATTTCAAACCCCCCTGACTTAATTTTTATTTTTATTATTTAATTCATTTTTTTCATTATTTCTATATTATTATTATTATTATTAATATTATTATAAATATTATTTTAGTAATAAAAAATACAAAAATATTTTATTTATTACTTATACTTTAATATACTTATTTTATTTTCTTTATAAACTAAAAAAGACAAAAAAATATTTTCTTAAACAAACTTAATTTCTTTTTCTTAATAAATTAATAATTAGATTTAGGTTTAGTTATTTTATTTTTTAATTAAAGTTAACTTAGAATTTAGATTTTCTTTTAATTAATTAATTTCCATACTATTTTTATTAAACTTAACACCTTTTCTAAAAAAACCCTAAAATATGCTTTCTAACTTAATTTATTTTCTTAATTAATTTAGGTTTGGTTTTATTTATTTTAATTAATTATTTTCTTTTAGATAATTAGGTTAAAACCCTTTCCTCAAAAAACCAAGCAAAAATTCATTTCCTTTTCCATTTATATCCTTGTACATTATATTTATTCATTTCTTGTACACTATTCAATATGGTTGTAATAGATAATTAGGTTTAATTTCTTGCAATCCCCATTTATAAATTTGTATACCCCATCCCTCTAATGGTTGTAATAGCATAGAATATTTACTTTCCGCAATTTATCGCTTTCATATAAATGCTAGTAATTAGGGTTTGTATGGGAAGATAAAAATTAACAAGTAGATAACCCTAATCCAAGATAAATCAAGCATGAAATACAAAACACTTGCACACTTGCACCACTAAGGTTAACTCTACTTGTTGCCTAAGAAATGGTCATGTTATGCATGTGGGATGTCTTAGCAAAAACAATCAAAATATAAGATCATAGTCCCTCGATGACACTACGAATGTTGCCTTACAAATGATCTTAGTCCCTCAAGAGAAATGCTAAGATATCTCACAACATTGCTATTCATGACTATACGATGACCCACGCCCGTTACTTTACATCCAAAGATAAGGCTTCTTACCAATCAATGGTAAGATAGCAATATCAAAGGAAATGAGGTAATGAACAAAAGACTTTTGAGTAAGTAGAAACGTTCTTAGTTGCTTGCTCACTTTCAACAAACAAACACGCACCAAACACTTTCAAAATAAACTTTCAAAACATGAAATATTTTCAAAAGTCCAACACTTTGTATACGTTCTTACGAAAGAGAAACCATTACAAAGTTTGCCTAAACGAATGCGCCTTTTCAAAAATACATTTAAAACCACCACAAAACACATTTTCAAACAAAGCAAGTGATCTAGCAAGCAACTAAGAGCCCATATATAACTATGGATGAAAAGAGTGCTAACACCTTCCCTTTTTATAATCTACCCCCGAACTCAAGAAATAATCTCAAAGGTCTTTCCTGTTCTTTTCCACCTTTCCTTTTGGATAAAAGAAAAGTCGGTGGCGACTCTTGCTAACCGTAACAATTGCGATCAAACACAAAACATCCCAAGTCAGTTCTCCTACCGTATTACAAAGGTGATCTTGGACTTTTTGAAAATCTCAAGATGTACCATACAACTCTCATGTTGGTAACTTTTTCATTTGAAGTCTTTAACTTGATATAAATTGCTTTGGCAAAAAATATCTTTTTGTTGACTTTCAAAATGACTTGTAATATTTTGGCTCATATCTCCTAAATGAAGTATTTTTTGGACCTGAGCTTAGAGAGACAAAGTTGTAGAGAATTGAATGGGCTTTGGTTGAGAATTTTATAATGAAGCATGTGAAAGTTATGCTTGGTCAAAGTTCAGTTGACTTCTCCTAAAGAAATGGTCGAAAACCATTTTGCAACTTTTGAATTTTGAACATGTCTTGACTTTTCTTAATGAATCATGACCAATCCTTGATCAAATGATGATTGTCACTTCAAAATCTTGATGTTGACCAAAAATCTTGAGTTTTGACTGTATGTTGACCACAATTGACTTTTTATCCAATACAATTGATTTTCAATCATCTGAGCAATTGACTGAGGAAACTTGTGATGCAAGACTTGAAACTTGTAGGATTCTTTGAAACATATGAGGAACCATGAAACTCACTTGAGGCATTAGAAGCTCAATTTTCTTTGAGAAAATCAAAACCCTAATTGTAGGTCAATTGCTTAGGAGGAGAGTCCATCTGATCAATCCTTGATAAGTTTTGAGTATTTGAGACCTTTAGGAGCATAAGGAGGTATCTTGAATCAATTTGTCTTGAAAAATAGAAGGATAAATTTTGGGATACAATAATAATTTATAATAGTATAAATGAAAAACTATTTTAAATATTTATTTTTAAAAATATTTTTATTAATGTGTTTAAAAATAATACATAGTAAAACAATATTATATTATATAGAGAGATGCTAACTATTTAGCAGATACAATGACTAATATTAATCAAACAACAATATTTATTGCAGTCATGAGGATTGTCCAGACAAGTTCAAACATACTTTGAAACTAAATGAGAAAAAATTTATTACCACTAGATTAATTTCTATTTAGTTTTTCTTTGTTGGGCGAAAACCCTTTCTTTTATCAACAAAAAAAAAACAATATCATATTATATGTACGATAAAAACTCCTATCATATTACTATTTTAAAGAATAAAAATAGAATTTGATGATATACACATATTTTATTAATTGACAGTGTAAAAATATTTATATATAATTTTTTCTTTCTTAACTTTCACTTAAGGTTGTATTTTTTATAACAAATATATCGTACTATATAACAAATTTTTATACTACTCCCTGATTTCTATTTATAAGAAATATTTTTAAATTTATTAAATAATATCTGACTTATATGAAAAATATATGTATGAATTGTTCAATAAATAATTATTTTTAAAACAATAAAGATTAAAGACGAATATTATAATAGGGACAGAGATATTTTAAATGAGAGAAAAATATCTTAACGAATATACCGCAGCATGGCCCAGTGGACTCAAGACACAGCGTCATGAATGAGTAGGATAGGATTCCACGTAGCCCTAGTTTTAACCCAATCCGTAACCTAGTTAACAAATCCCCAGCTATATAATACCCCTTTAATCAGTCACCAAAATATCTTTCTTTTACCTCTATTCCTTCTCCGTCTCTAATTTGAGTTTTTCGATGGGTTCTTCCGATGCTGAGTACCGGTGCTTCGTCGGTGGCCTTGCCTGGACCACCGACAACGATGGCCTCGCCAAGGCATTCTCTAGTTACGGTGAAATCACTGATTCCAAGGTCCGTTTGTTGCAGGCTTTGGATCTGACACAATCTGGATTCGAATTCCGTTCTGATCTGTGATCTATTGTGTTACTTGATATATCCTGTTACTGTTCTGTTACTGTTTCTGTTACTATTTGATATGATTCTTATGTTACTCACACCAATAGGTACGTTCATCTTCATCTTTTGACAAAGAGGCGAAGATTGATCGGTTACTATTAGGTTTTGGAACTGTTTTTTCATGTTTTTTGTTGTTAGATCTGAGTTTTTTTTGTTTCGATTTTATAGGTTATTATGGATCGTGAGACTGGACGGTCAAGAGGTTTTGGATTTGTGACGTTTGCTGCCGAGCAATCTATGAGAGATGCGATTGAAGGGATGAACGGTCAGGATGTTGATGGACGTAATATTACCGTGAATGAAGCTCAGTCCCGTGGAAGAGGTGGAGGCGGTGGTGGAGGTGGATACAACAGAAACGGCGGTGGTGGTGGAGGCTATGGCGGTGGAGGAGGTGGTTATGGTGGTGGAGGAAGTGGTGGATATGGTGGTGGAAGAGATCGTGGTTATGGAGGCGGTGGTGGTGATAGATATGGCGGTGGAGGCGGTGGTGGTGATAGATATGGCGGTGGAGGCGGTGGTGGTGGTAGATATGGCGGTGGAGGCGGTGGTGATAGAGGATATGGCGGTGGTGGTGGCGGCGGCGGCTACTCTCGTGGGGGCGATGGTGGCAGTGGTGGAAACTGGAGGGACTAGGCTAAAGTTTTACCTGTTCGGGATTTATGATTATGATGTTCTCATATTGCTTTTAGATGTTTGGTTTAGTAGTTTGGATATGGTATTTGTTTGTTTTGGTTTAGTGTTCTTGTCTCGTTTTTGTTCTTCTGAATTTAGTTGTGTACAAATGATCTATTGAATTGAAATGATAAACACCATCTAATTTCTTCTGATTTTTCTATTTGAGTTTTTGTTTCAATTCTACTTGGTTAGTCGAAATTTGGATAATATAAATAATTAAATTTCATTAACCACGCTACCCTTTGTTATTCGGTGCAAATCTGGTAGTTATGTATCTCGTGTTGATCTAAGTTCCATTTAGATATCTAAATGAATAGAACCAACTGACATAGTCTTGTATACATTGAACAAACTCTTGCTTATAAAAATATTCGAATAAATAAAAATTATTATAATTTATTTTTGTTTTTATGAATAATTATATAAATATATAAAAAATTTATTAAAATTTTCTCATATAAAAATTTTATAAATTTTTTCTCATTTATGAGTGATTTGACTATTTATTTTTTGTTTTTACGAATAATTATATGAATATATAATTTTTTTTATTTATAAAAATATTTTTATTTTATATATTAAAAATTATTCAATATTTTTATAAAAATAATTGTAAATTATATTTGTTGTCATCTTAAATTTATTCAATAGTAATAAATATGATATGATATTTAATTATATTTATAAATAAATATTATATTATAAATATTTAATTTTAAATATTTATATTACAAAGTAAGAAATTTGTATTATCATCTTATATCTACTAAACTCTTGTTTATAAAAATATTTATATTTATTTGTTAATAAAAATTATTCTAATTTATTTTTGTTTCTATAAATAATTATATAAATATATTAAAAAAAATTGTTTATAAGTGATTTGACTATTCATTGATCGAGAGCTTTTATAAACGAGTGGAAAAAATAATTTCACTATTAGATGTGAACTAACTAATTTCTATATACCCCCAACATCGTCATACACAATAATATTTTAACGTTGTACTTATTTGATATTTCATATCTATTATTTAATGAATTTCTAATAATTATAATAAATAAGATTTGATATCATCACACAAATGTCCATAAACTGTAAAAAACTATATTTATAGATTTAGGTTAGCTTGCTCTCGTCCAAAATACCTATTAAATTTAAAGATTTAGGTTAGCTTGTTCTCTAAACCAAAACCCAAAATTATAAAAATCCAAAATACCTGTTAAATCTAAAACCAATCAAATATGTGTAGATTGCTTCGATCCACAATCTCTTCGATTGAGCAACCCCCCTTCGACACACACTGTTTTGACAACTGCTACCTGCTCTCGAAGATATTGGAACCTCATTTCGATGTGCTTATTTCGACCATGTGCTATCGGGTTCTTCGCTAGATTGATAGCTGACATGCTGTCGATCTTCATGGTAATTGTTCCATGATATTTTCCTGTTATCTCTTCGACCAAGTTCACCATCCAAGTTGCTTGACATGCACAAAGAGATAATGTCACTACTGGTTCATTTCTTGAACTCTAAGCAACTGATGCACCACCTAACATAAACACATATTCTGCTGTTGATTTTCAATCTTCAGCATCACTACACCAACTCGAATCAGTGTATCCCACTAACTTGCATTCTTTTCCTTTATCAGCTGGAGGGAACAAAATGCCATAGTCGAGAGTTCCTTTGAGATACCTTAGTATCCTCTTCACCGCTGCTAGATGTGATATCTTTGACTTCTGTATGAATCTACTTACCATACCTACACTATATGATAAGTCAGGCCTTGTGTGACAAAGGCATCTCAATGACCTAATAAGTCTTTTGTATTGGGTTGGGTCGACATCATCTTCATCTGCATCTTTCGACAGTTGCAGTCTTAGTTCTGTCGGTGTCGAAGTTGAGTTACATTATTCCATCTCAAATTTCTTGAGAATTCCTATATATCTTCTTTGATACATCATCAAACCTCTACTGCTCTTGTAGAATTCGATGCCAAGGAAATATGAAATCTCACCTAGATCAGACATTTCAAATTCCTTGCTGAGATCACCTTCGAAGTCTTCGATCCCACTTTTGCAGCTACCTGTTATCAACAAATCATCGATATAGAGACATGGTATAAGCAATTAACTATTGCTTCTTCTTACATATACTCCATGTTCAGTTGTGCACTTCACAAATTCCTTCTCCCTTAGGAAACTATCAATTTTCTTATTCCAAACTCTTGGAGCTTGTTTCAATCCATACATGGCTTTATACAGCCTGTACATCTTTCTCTCTTCATCATGTTTCACAAACCCAACTGATTGTTTAACATAAACTTCTTCGTCTAAGGGTCCATTCAGGAATGCGCGCTTCATGTCCATCTGACATATGTGCCATCTGTTTATTTCTGCTAGACCAACAACCAACCTGATTGTTTCCATCCTAGCAACAGGTGCAAAAACTTCATCAAAGTCTATTCCTTGTTTCTATAGAAATCCTTTCGCCAAAAGCCTTGCTTTGTGTCGAGTTACTTCCCCTTTTGAATTCATTTTCACTTTGTATACCCACTTGACATCAATTACCTTCTTGCCTTGAGGCAATTCGACAAGTGACCAAGTGTTGTTGTCTTCGATAGACTTCACTTCTTCGTTCATTACTTTCACCCACTTCGAATCCTTCAACACTTCAGCTGCATTGACAGGTTCGACATCAGCATAGAAATCATAATGTACCGGCTCACCTTCATTATCTATCACATCATCTGATGTAATCACACAATCTTGCAGGCATGCGTCTTATTCTTTGAGGTCTGCTTGTACTTGGTTGATCTATAACTTCCAGCTCCTCTTGTCGAACTTCTCTTTTGACTTGAGTTTCTGGTTCTTCAAGTAGGATTCCCACTGAATCTTTCTTAACATTTTCAGCCAAATCCCATTATTTAAGCTCATCTATGATCACCTCCCTGTTGATCACAATCTGCTTGTTCACTGGGTCGAACAACTTGTAACCTCCTGTCGAATGATATCTAACTAGAATCATTTGACTTGACTTGTCATCAAGTTTTCTTCTCAACTGATCTGCAACATGTCTATGTGCAAAGATTCAAATACCTTTAGATGACTCAAGCTAGGCTTCACACCAGACCAACATTCTTCTGGAGTAATTCCTTCTAGCTTCTTCGTATGACATTTGTTCAAAATGTATGTTGCAGCCGACACAGCTTCACCCTAAAACTCTTTAGGTAAATTCTTGCCTTTCAACATACTTCTCACCATATCATGATGGTTCGATTCTTCCTTTCTAAATTTCCATTATGATATGGAGTATAGGGTGGCATCACCTCATGCACAATCCTTTCCTTTTCACATAATATGTCGAAGTCTTTCGACACATACTTTCCACCACCACCAGTTCTCAAAACTTTGAGTTTTTGACCACTTTGTCTTTCGACCATAGACTTAAACTTGGCAAATACCTCGATCACTTCACTTTTCTTCTTGATCAGGTAAGTCCACAACTTTCGACTAAAATCATCTATGAATGTAACAAAGTATTTGTTACCTCCCAATGAATCCACCTGGATTGTTCCACATACATCAAAGTATATGACTTCAAGAATAACCTTCTACATGCTTCCTGCATCCTTGCTGAAGCTATTCTTGTGGTGCTTCGCTTGCACACATTCCTTACACACCTCACTTGGAATGTCGATTTCTGGAAATCCTGAAACCTTATTTCTTCTCTTCAAATTTCCGATGTCTCTGAAGTTGAGATGGCCTAGTCGATAATGTCATATCCATTCATCTCTGCTAGCTGCAGTCGAAAGGCACTTGTGCTCCATCATATTTAGTTCGATCTTGAAGGTTCTATTTTGATACATAGGAGCCTTCAAGATTAATCTTCCATTTGCGTCGACGACTCTCATCATCTTATCTTTGATCAACACTTTATAATTCTTTTTGACCAACTACCCTATAATGAGCAAATTTCTCTTCATGCCTGGTATGTACAACACATTGGAAATTACTGACCTCTTTCCATCTTTCATCATAATCATAACATCACCAATACCTTTAGCTGATAGGGTATTTTCATTTGCGAATTTTACCATATTTTTCATTGAGGGCTTTATGTTGACAAACCAGTCTTTCCTTCCATACATATGTGATGAGCATCCCGAATCCAAGTACCATTGGTCCTTGAATCTATATTCATCTCTTGTTGTGACCACCAACATCATCTCTTCTTCTTCATGTTTTGTAAACTTTGCATCACTTTCTTGATTCTTTCACTTTTCTGGACAATCACTCGACTAGTGATCATACTTCTGACAATTGTAACATTAAATATGACTCTTGTCAGGTTTTCAACCACCACCTCTTCCTATATTTGCAACACCACCTCTTTGGTTGCCTTGGTATGGTCTTCTCTGATTCGACACATTTCCTTCATTTTGATTTCCTCTACCAGTCGATTTGTTGTAGCCGCCTCTACCTCTGCCGAACCACTTTCCTTTGCCTTTCGTTTCTTTTGCTGAATGTGCCTGCAAAGACATATCACTCTTCGACTTTCCTGTAGCTCTTTCAGTCATTCTTTGTTCATTAGATTCAAGCATCCCTTGAAGCTCTTCCTTTGTCAATTTAGACAAGTCTTTCCCCTCTTCTATATCCACCACCACGTGGTCGAACTTAGGAGCCAAAGATCTCAAGATCTTTGAAACAACAACTCTTGTTGTTAATGTTTCTCCACATACCTTGATTTGATTCACTAGTTTTCTAACACTAGTGAAGAAATCAGATATGCTCTCACTATCTTCCATCTGAAGAAATTCATATGTTCTCTTGTGAGTTGGTAACCTCACTTCTTTCACCTTTTCTGCACCACCAAAAGACTTCTCAAGAACCTCCTAAGCTTCTTTTGTAGATTCTGAATCACTCACTTTTTTTAAAATTTCCTGGACTCAGACATTGATGAATTATAAGGAGTGTTTTATAACTCAACTTCTCAGATTTTGTGTGTTTCTTCTTTTCTTCTTATGAAGCGTTTTCTCCAAGCGCTTCTAATCCATCCTTTACAAGATCCCAAAGACCTTGACACCTGAATAAAACTTTCACCTGTTTGCACCAATTCTCACAGTTGTCTACTTTCAGAATTGGTAGAGTTGTTGGGTAACTTGCATTCCCATAACTCGCCATCGTGAAATCTTCTTCTTCCTCAATCGTTCTTGATCGATACTTCCCTTGAATTGATTAACTGAGCTCTTAATACCAGATATTGGAAATCTACCAAATATCTATGATGAATTTCTACCAATCTTGATGAACAAGATTGATATCACCATACATTGACAATGAATTATGAGAAAAGAAAAGAAAAGAAAGAAGACAATTATTTTAAGCAGAGTTTCTCTGCCCACAAACTGTGGAAAACTTTATTAATCACTTGCAACTGCAAATTCTGTGATTACAATGAATTGACTTAATTACAAAATTAAGGGTTACTCCCTCTATTTATAGATTTAGGTTAGCTTGCTCCCAAAGCCAAAGCCCAAAACTATAAAAGCCCAAAACACCTATTTTGGTACTAAATCAAATTTATCTATTTTAGATCTAAATCAAATTTATCTAAAGCTAAAACCAATCAAATCTGTGTGTAGCTTGCTTCGATCCACAAGCTCTTCGACTGGGCAACCTCCCTTTGATACACACATTGTTTCGACACAATCGAATTACAATTTAATAAGATACTTAAGCATTTTCATTCTTTTTTTTGAACAAGTCAAAAATTTGATTATATTAAACCATAAATACAAGGCGATCAGGTAAGATCAAGCCCACAAGAAACAAAAAATCCCAAAACACACTCAATTACATCATCAAGTTGACAATATGATTTTTTAGAATGCTACAATGCCAACCCCTAAAAATAATAGTATCCATAATTTGTCTCAACACCTTCATATAATCAACTTTATTCCCAAAGCATATCTCATTGCGAAAAATCTAAACACCATAGACAACCTCAATAATAGCAAGCTTGAAAAGGGTGTTCCTCCAGCCTTTGCCTTTAATATTCTCTATTATCCGAGCTAGCTTCTCATTCCAAGGTTTAGGGGGTATGCCTCACATTAATCCACTTGAGGATATCAATCGAAAACTGTCTCAGACCAACACAATAAAAAAGGATGTGATCAATAGTTTCATCCTTTTTAAAAAATCAGAAAACAATTTCAGAGATAAATCTAAAGCTCGATAATCTATCCTTAGTGGCTAATTTACGATGACAAGCTATCCATAAAGATAAAATAGCTCTAGGCCTATCCGGATTATTGAAGAACAAGGAATTCCAATTAACCACTGGATCTTCTTTTCTCAATTGGGAGTAGACAACTTTCATAGAGAATTTCCCAGCAACCACCATGCCATCCCACAGGTTCCGCATTTTCTAAATATAGTCTCTTTTGCCCATCACCTGTTTCATAATCCAAGTCCCATTTTATATTATTTTGCTTAAGCTATCTTTACCAGGCCAAAAATATGATCGACAAATAGAATCAATCTTATGAATCACCACTTTAGGAATGGGAAAATAGGTAAGCCAATAGTTAGTCATAGAAAGAGTCACAAATTTGATCAGTTGAAGCCTACCTGCTGCACTCAATAAGTGAAAGGACCAATGCCTAATCCTGATGATAATTTTCTCCATAATGGGCATGTAATGATTGGCAGAAAGTTTCTTAGAAGTGAGAGACACTCCCAAATATCTAAAGGGGAGGATCCCTTCATGGAAAGAAGTCAAATTGAGGATTCGAAGTTTGGTGTCACAGTCGACAACTCCAAAATAAATTATGCTTTTATTAGGATTAATTTTCATACCTGTGGAACTAGTGAACTTATGAAAAGCCTGCATCACGAGGTTCATAGATCCAGTGTCACCTCTAGAAAATAAGAGAAGATCATCTGCAAAGGCAAGATTGGTGAGCTGGGGTTTTTCACACTAAGGATGATGGTTAAAGTTTGGATTCAGCTGCATTTGGTGTAAACGTTTGTGCATATACTCCATAGTGATGACAAATAGGTATGGGGAAATGGGGTCCCCTTGCCTGATGCCCCTCTTAGCATGAAGCAGTCTGGAGAGAGAGCCGTTACTATTAAAACGATAAGAAACAGAAGTAACAATTGCCATGATCCATCTATTGAAATTGTTAGGGATGCCAATTTCCTGCAGAATACTCTCAAGGGCCCTCCAATCAATCATATCATAAGCGTTCTGCATAACAATTTGGACCATACATCTTAGAGTACCGACTTTTCTAGAATAACCCTTAATAAGTTCTTACGCAAGAAGCACATGATTGTGTATATGTTGGCCAAGGATGAAAGCTGCTTGGTTGGAACTAATAATGCTACCAATCACTTGCCCCAATCTATTTGTCAATTTTTTTTGAGATAATATTGTACACAGTTGAGCATACAAATATTGGCCTAAAATCTTTGATATTCTTGGCAGATTCTGTCTTGGGAATGAGAGTAATAATGGTGCAATTGAAGGCTTTGAAGATGTACTTCTTATCAAAGAACTCTTGGGCAACTGCAATCAAATCCCCTTTAATGATGTCCCAAGAACTTTTAAAGAAATAAGAGTTATAACCATGTATCCTAGGGGCAAACATGTCATTGATATCTTTTAAGGCCTCAAATATTTCCTTTTCACTAATAGCAGATTCCAAGAAATCTCTCTGAGCATTATTAAGTTGTTGGTCCTTCCTCATGGCCACCACATCAATGCCAGTAATTTTCTCCTCTTTTTCCCCCCATCAGACCATCATAGAAGGACATAATTGCATCTTCAATATCAGCAAGATCAGATAAGATGGTGCCATCTTCCTTAGATAAGCAATTCAAGTCTTTAGATTTCTGCTTTGCTTTCACAAATGCTTGAAAGAAGGAGGTGTTGTCATCAGCATGTTTAAGCCAATTGACTTTGGCTTTTTGCTTCAAGATGGCTTCATCAGTCTTATTCCAGAAAAGAAGATCTCCAGAGTATTTCTTCACTTCTTCCATCTTGTCTTTGTTCATTCTATTCCCTTGAAGCAAAATATGAGCATTTTCAAGACTGTTTCTATCAACGACAATCTTCTTTTTAGCTTGGAGTAGAGGAAGATGAAGCTTATATAAGATATGGTGTAACTTCTTAAGCTTATTCCATAAAACAAACATAGGCTTCCCCTTAAGATGATTGTTCTAGTTATTTCTAACTTCCTCAAGGAATCCCTCAACTTTAGTAACATAATTGGCGAATTTAAATCTATGGGAATTGTTACCTCTAACATGCTGATTTGAAACAAGGAGAAGAGCATGATCGGAAATTAGAGGAGGCATAATTCTGAGAGTAAAATTTAAATGGTCTTGAAACCAGGCAGTGTTCCCCAATAATCTGTCGATCCTGGAGTAAATCATTCCAACATAATATCTATTGGACCAAGTGTAAAGATCTTCCAAACTATCCATTTCATAAAGTCCTTTTTTGTCCATCATGCTCTAAAGGTCAACATATTCAGCTTCAAGAATCATATTCCCCCCAATCCTGTCTTGAACTTTAAGAACATTGTTAAAGTCTCCAATGAGACACCAGAAACCATTGGTTTGCAGACTTCCAATGTCCTTCCAAAACATTTTTCTCTGTTCAAGTTTGTTATGGACATAAACGACTATTAACCAATATTTAAAAGATCCATTATTGTCATACACACCACAATGGATTATCTGACAATTGCTACTCAACCCTTTACCCTTTAAAAAATTAATTTTACACTACAAAAAAATCCTTTTAAATAATTCACTTAATACAATATTCTGACCAATCATATTTTTCCATTGTGGCAAGTATCACTCATTTTTATTTCAAATTTCATAGTACCAATTTATTGTCCGGGTAAAACAAAACAGTCTGTGTAATAAATAACCTTTTCATCTCCAATTCATTTCACTACAAACCCTTTCATTTCACTTTCTTTTCTCTCTCCGAAACCAAAGTTGTCACTCTTTCTCGTCTCCTTACCGCCTTCATCTTCTTCAAACACTCTCAACCCATTTTCACTTATGTAAAAAAAATTCCATGAACAATCACTTTTTTTTCACCGACAACCATCCTATGTTGTTGTGTTCTTGATTAGTAATAAATAATGATTATGTGGTTGGATTTTTTTCATTAAAGTTACCAACTTTTCTATGGTTGTCAGAGTCTACCTATTTTATGTTGTTTCCGTTTTTTTTTTCTTACCATGTTTTATAAATGTTATGATGTTTATTTTTAACGTAGACGCTCTTTATGCTTTCCAGATTATATATATATATATATATATATATATATATATATATATATATATATATATATATATATATATATATATATATATATATATATGCAAGACCATCCATTCAATTTTCTGCAGCTAATAGTACTCTGTACTCTCTCTTTTTCAGACCAAGACCATCCATTCGCTCACGTCAGTTTTTGAGACTTAAAGAACAGATCCATTTTTTCAACTAGATCCAATATTGGATACAACGTTGAGAAAGATCCAAGACTAGGGTAGACACATCGGCCGCAGTTAGGGTTCATCATCCATAGTGAGTGTTTGTTTACTTCTTATTTTTATGATTTAAGGATTTGTTTCATTGACTATGTTTTCTTTTTACACCTTCTTGATGGAAGAAAAGGGAAGAACATTGGGTGGTTTTTTATTTTGGTTCGTTTTTTTATATTATTCATGACTTCTACTCCATAGATTTTATTTCATGAAGATTTGATTCTTTCTTAAAATTATAGTTTGTTTTTGTTTTTTAGGAGAAAAAAAGTTTTTATTTTTCAAGTGTTTGATGTTGTTGAATAAGATTTGAATTTACGCGTGGAACATGAAGATTTTTGTTTTTAACTTTGCAATAGATAAATTTCAAGGGATCAATTTAGGTGATTTTTTCGCCATTACACATCAGCAACCTTAATGAGTTAAAGGCGGAAGAAAAACAGCTGACAATAGCACGTAAACAGGTACAAAGTGCCCCACAAACAAGTATCTGCAGAATGATCAATAATGCTACTGTATGTTCAAATGCCATTGGAAGACAATGATTGAGGATATGCTATAAAACTTCACATGGTTCACGGCTGACAGGTAGTGCAGAAGAGAAATCTTGTAATTTCGTGGTTAAGAACTTCTATCCTTCTATCACAATCGAATGCAAGTTGTGGTTGATCAGTACCCGATGTAGCTAGTCAGTCTGAACTATTGTGAGCTGAATAAATATTCAAGTCCAGCTGATATCAATATTTCTATCTTGGTGATTTGTTAAGAAACAATTACTTTGGAATAAAAATATTGTCACTTATGTTCAACTAACTTTAGCAATACATTTTTTATTATTATGTAGGCTTTCAAATATGGACCGTTAACATAAAGGTGTTGCAATACCCATAGAAAAAGTGATTAATGCATGCTCCTTGAGGTAATGAATATTTATGATAACTGTAAGGAAAAAAAGTGAATTAAGCCTTGATGATGTGAAGGTGGTTGATGTTATAAGTTGCTGCAACAATAATGGTTTTTTTCTTACTCAAACTTCTTTTTTAAGTTTTTACATTTGAGCTACTTTTTAAAGTAATAGCTTGAACTTCATTTTTATTGAATTAATATGGCTGGTTCTATCCAATTTGGATATATATGTAGTTGTTGGAGTCAACAAACCTCTGCAAGGCTTAAATTCTAGGACCATTCTGAAGGATGATGGGGTAATAATTCTCATAAGATTTGAAAGTTTAAATGGAAGCCTGGTTTCCAGTGGCATTGATGTTACTCAGCAGTTTGTTCTTTACAACATTTTATTAAACAATTCTACCAATGACAAGTGATTCATTCAATCTAACTACTATGATGTGCAAATTGAAATTCCTTTATCTCATGTTAGAGGTGAAAACAAGTTCTATTGTTTCACACTTTTAAAAACTCACTAAAAAAATTATCGGGTTGAGTCGCGGATTAGTTCGCTTTCTTTAAGACATTTCACGGTATTGTCCAAAAGTATGCAAAGCAGTTGAACTACTGCGCCGCTTCCAAGATAAAACAACTCAGTTCTATACTGTACGATTACTACTTGCACAATAGATAATCAGTCTAGAAATACACCCTCTGATGGTACTAAGATCATTTCAATATGGTATAAACACCACCGTAGTATCTGGTATAATAATCAGTCGTAATAATTTCTCAAATCAAAAGAAATTTCAATAATTCTCCAAAGAGAATTCAATAATAGTCATTTGACCACTCAAAAAAATGATTTTTAAACAAAAAGAAATTCGAATAATTTTTTAAAGAGAATAAAAAAATTATACTTGATAATTTCTTAACTCAAACAAGGAGAAATTACCATTATTCTCAAAAGAGAATTCAAGAAAGTACTCGGAAAATTCAACAAACAGAAAGAAATGGGAAACAGTTGGCGCTTCGACAATTCGAAAGACGCAGAGTTATGAGAGTGAGGAAGAAAAAAAAAATATTTTTTGGTGTGTTTTGGAATAAAATAAGTGATTTTCTTATATAAAAAAGTGAGTTAGTTAATATTTCTCACATGAGCAATGTGAGACTAAATAGTTTTTTCAATCACAAAAAAAATCTAACAATGTGAGACTTAAGAAATTTTTAAATTCAACATATTAGAACAAAGACATGTTCCAAGAATCTCCCACTTGAATTTAAAGAAGTGATTTTAGAAGTAACTTCAAACGTTTTTTTAAGATTGTGTATAAACCAAGGTGTCTACGACTTGAACTTTTGTGTAGTAAGTAGGATTCCGATTCAACAAGAGTGACACAAATGTCTTGAAATCTATCTCAGACATCAAACTCACACACATCCTTTTCTTAAGGTGTATTCTAATAGTCTGTTTTTAATGGCTCTGCACGTGTATCCCGGTTTAGTGAAGGCCCTAGGATTTCTGCCTCGAAATTCCATAAGAACCGGCCTAAGTTCCACAATCACATAGATGAGTCTATCAAGAGTACTCCTGTAGCCTAGGCACTCCATCATCCAGAGTATAGATCTCCTTAAGAGTTTCTATTATCCCATCCTCTTATTACTTCAGGATTCATGCTTCAGTTGCATGATCATCTCATATTACTCATAACTTGTTATTATCCATTGAACCTATTTTTTGGAATCTTCATTCATTTAGGTCGGGTTACCATCACGAGCAACTCATATTCCTATAGGCATTAGTCTTATCTTATATGATGTATTATAGACTTTCTCTCTATCTAATCCTTTCGTCAAAGGATCTGCTAAATTTTCATCAGTGCGTATATAATTCAATCTTACAGCTCCTTTAGAGACACAATCTCTAACAGTGTTGTACTTTCTTCTAACTTGACATCTTTTACCATTATAATAACGATTCTCGATTTCTGCAATAGTCGCGTTACTATCGCAGTGGATTAACACAACTGACATAAGTTTTTCCCATAAGGGAATCTCAGTTAGTAAGCATCTTAACCAACTTACTTCTTCACTAGCAGTCGCTAATACTCTCATATCAGACTCCATCGTGGACTGAGCCATGATAGTCTGTTTCTTTGATTTCCAAGATACAACTCCTCTAGCTATGGAATACATAGCCACTAATTGCTTCAGAATCATCTGATAAGGTATTACAATCAGCATCATTGTATCCTTCAAGTACAATAGGAAATCTCTGATAATGTAAATTGATATTCATGGTCCTTTTAAGGTACTGTATGACTCGCCCAATATCTTGTCAATATTTATTACTTGGTCTACTAGTAAACCTGCACAACAATCCCACGACATATGCAATGTCGATTTTAGTACAATCAATGAAATACCTAAGACTTCCAATGATGCTCGCATATTCTGTTTTCCTAACACTTTCACTAGTGTTCTTAAATAACTTCACGCTTGGATCGTATGGTGTGCTCACAGGTTTACTGTGAAAGTGATTATATTTTTTAAGATCCTTTCCATCTAGTATGATTGATCCAAAGAAATTCCTTGCTCGGATCTCGTGATCTTAATACCAAGAATTACACTCGCTTCTTTCATATCAAAGTTATTGCACAATAATTATTTCATATCATTAACGGTTTGAATATTTGATCCACATATGAGTAGATTGTCTACATATAGACATATGACAGTGCAAATGTGATTCTCAAATTTATAATAAATGCATTTGTCACTTTCATTCACTTTGTACACATTCGATATCATTAAGTTATCAAACTTTTCATGCCATTGCTTTGGAGTTTGTTTTAGCCCATACAAAAACTTATCTAACTTACAGACCTTGTTTTCTCACCCCAAGAATTTCAAACTCTTCCGGTTGGTCCATATAGATTTCTTTTTCTAAGTCACAATTTAAAACAAGCTATTTTTATATCTATTTGGCATACTATTAAGTTATAAATAGAGACTATTGAAATTAGTATCCTAATGTATGTAATCTGAGTGACTGAGTAAAAGTATAGAAGAAATCTATATTTTCTATTTTCCTAAAATCTTTGGCTACAATGCAAGCCTTGTACTTATCAATTATTCCACCAGGTTTTAGTTTCTTTCTTCAAAACTCATTTACAACTGATTGGTTTGCAATCAGGAGGCAAGTCTACTACGTGTGAGGTCTTGTTAGATTCTAGATATTCTATCTCATCATTAATAGCTACTTGCCATAAATATGTATATAGAGATGACAAGGCTTCTTGAAGATTTATTGAATCTTCATCTACATTATGAGCCGCATAATCGGACTCGTAGTCTTTAGAAACTCTTACCCTTTCACTTCGTCAAAGTTCAGTTTCTACTTCGTTGTTGCTTTCAGTGTTTCTTATCAGCAGAATGTGATTCAATTAAGTTCCTCCACTATTTCTCAATTTGAAAGGAAATTTATCTTCATAGAATTCAACATCATTTGATTCTATGATCACTTTAGCATTTAGGTCTTAAAACCTATATGCCTTATTGTTTGATGCATACCCAATGAATACACATTCATAGGTTCTACTAGCGAATTTAAGTCGCTTCAGATTTGGAATTCTGACATAAGCCAAATAGCCCCAAGTTCTTAAATAAGACAAGTTTGGTTGTCTTTTCTTTAATATCTCATAAAGTGAGATCTTACTTTTTACTTGGAAACTCGATTCAGGATATAGCAAATAATCAACAAAATCCCCCCACCAGTGAGGTGCAACACTAGAATTCAACATAATTGCAACAACAAGTTCACTAAGAGTTCTATTCTTTCTTTTTGCTTTACCATTCATTTCAGGAAAGTATGGTGCAGTTGTTTCATGTATAATTCCATGTTGTTTATAAAATTCATTAAATAAACTAGAATCATACAATTTTCCCATCACTACAAAGTCTCTTAATCTTCTTATTAAATTGATTCTCAATTTTAGTTACATACATCTTAAACATGTCAAGCGCTTCACTTTTATTCTTCATTAAGTATACATAAGTATAATCAGAGCAATCTCCAACAACAGTGATAAAATAACATTTACTATTTCTAGTTAATGTTCCATCTAATTTACATATATCAGAGTGTATAAGAACTAGGGGATCAGATTCTCAATCAAGGCGAAGCAAAGTTTTTAAAAACGTTCAAACTATGGGTAGTTTGTAAATTATAAAAGCAATTTAAAATTGTTCATCTAAACACATACCTTTTTGATGATCTTATAAGCAATCTTTTGAAGTTCGTAATATTGAGCCTCCATCGACCTTTCATCTTTGCCATTTGATACTTAAAATAATGGCTAATAATATACTTCTTTGCTACAACTTCAATGCCATGCTTATTTTTTAGAGCCTCATAAACATGTTTTAAAGTATCACAGTTGTTGTAATAATCATACATATCATTTGCGAGTCCATTCAGAATGTTATAGTCATTCTCTTTCTATAAGGAGATTTCTTCCTTTAGCTGTAAATCCTTCGCTTTAATCTATGTTTAAGTTCAGATTCATTGAAATTAACAATTCAATCTGAGTTCATAGATTTCTTTCTATTCGTTTGTTCGACTGACACAAATGGAACAGTAGGAATGTTATTAATCAAAATATTGACAACTTTTTTTATGGTTAAGAAAAACATCATTTTTGTTGTTAATGTTTGAAATACACTCCCTCAAGCTTGAACGGTTTGTCCGAGACAACTGTGGAAGTACTGATAATTTCTTCAGTAGCCATGACAGTTTGAAACGTCTTAAAATTGTTGTTTCACGGTTTTAAAAATTCAGCCACCATAGAAATTACCGGATTGAGTCGCGAATCAGTTCACTCTCTTTAAGATGTTTCACGGTATTGCTCAAAAATATGCAAAGTAGTCGAACTACCGCACCACCTCCAGGATAAAACAACTCAGTTCTATACTGCACGATTACTACTTGCACGGTAGATGATCGGTTTAAAAATACATCCTCTAATGGTACTAAGACCATTCCAATATGGTATAAACACCACTGTAGTATCTGGCATAATAACGAGTCGTAATAATTTCCCAAACGAAAAGAAATTCGAATAATTCTCCAAAGAGAATTCAATAACAGTCATTTGACCACTCAAAAAATGATTTCTCAAACAAAGAGAAATTCGAATAATTCTCTAAAGAGAATCCAAAAATTATACTTAATAGTTTCTCAACTCAAACAAGGAGAAATTACCATTATTCTCAAAAGAGAATTCAAGAAAGTACTCAGAAAATTCAACGAGTAGAAAGAAAGGTGAAAAAGTTGGCGTTTCGACAATTCGAAAGACGTAAAGTTATGAGAGTGAGGACGAATAAACTAATAAAATAGTTTTTAGTGTGTTTTGGAATGAAACAAATGATTTCCTTA